TAAGATGATCTGTCATACCGCATGCATGCTGTCGAACTACGATTTTGTCTAACGAGAGAGTTGGCAAGCAATCCTCCACTCCGTATACAAATGATACGATATGCATACGACAATCTTTCACAATCTTTCGTAGCTTTGTCTGCTGCAGAGTTACGAAATAGCAATAAGGGATTCCAATTGCGAGTCAACAAAGCAACCGAGGACCCAGTATTAACTACCGACCACTAATAGGAACGGGTCAAAAGGATAGCTGTCTTTTTACTAAGTGTCGAATTATTGGTTGCACTTTCCTAAAAGGGCATCCTATGAGAGAGCCAACAACTTCCCAGTAACACTATCTAAGACATCAACGTCGGTCCATTTCAACCGGCCGCTGCTAAAAATCAGCTCGATCTCAGTTGTTTACATGAGCTGTACGAAGTAAGCTAGATCTTGTATTGCATCCCAACCTCGTACAGCTTGTCTTGCGGGATGTTGTAGGTCTTGGCAGCATCGGAGTGGAAATTGTTGACGAGAATCTGCAAGAGATATGTTACGACTAGAGTGAGGAAAACTTGGCTGAAAGTTCATCAAGTGCAGAGAACACCGTGGCACGAAACCCGTTCTGCACGCAGGTATGAGCGGTAAAATTGAGCCTGTACTCGTGTACAACATCAAAAGGCAATCCGGCAATCTCGACCACCCAGTCTGCGGAGAAGGATAGACTTAGTAAACCTCGTAGGAACGACACTTGAAATCAAAGTGAGCCTCAGCTGCGTGGCCAGAACCACAAGCGAACGGTCGACACACGAGCCACAACGCCTCAGCCTCAGCCCGATTACGACCGAGATACTAGATTGGCACAATCCTTACCAGGTAGGGGATCTCGAGGAAGAGTCGCTTGAAGATGTTGGTCGGCTTCTCCGCGATCTGTGGGGTCGCCCTGCCCAGCATGTAGACGACGTGCTGGGAGTCGCGCGCCTTCCGGACCAGCCTGATCTCCTTCGCCAGTACCGCAGCGCGCTTGTGCCGGGACGGTACCTGGTGTGGCAAAATGATGAATGTCAGCTAAGCTGGATGGGTCTCTAGGATAGGTAAACTAAGCTCAAGTTATGAAACTGGGACGGGTATGATTGGTCGGTGCGGATACGGGTGCGGAGCGGGTGATTATTTGGAATTAGGTTTCTAGTGTTGGCTTCGTTCTTACTATAACCACTCTATTCTAGAGGGGTATGCAGGCTGGTCGAGCTGACAAGGAACCCAAAGAACCTTCTGGATTTTCCTGAGTGCTGCAAGTCGGGTGATAAGGTGCAATGGGTTACAAACTGTGGCGTTTCGTTCATCCTGGCCCGTACTATATGCTCTGCATCAACGCTTTGCTTGTGAAATGCGTGAGCAGAGCCAGGCAGGACATCTTATGGAACACTTCACGAGTCACTGAAACGTGCGTAGGGAAGACCACAGAACCTTTTCTGCAAAACAAACTTACTGCGAGCTCTGCGCCTTCAAGACCGATACACCTCGTCTGCTTTACACAGTGGTCTCCTTAGATTTGATTTTTCATCCAACTGCTGGGCTCTCCGCAAAAACATGTAAACGGGGTTCCGGATGCAAAGCGAGAATTTTGTTGAGTGTCCGCAGAGTGTCACGGTCACTATCCCACGAACCACGTTCGGAACCCAAATACTCGCCTTCTGCTCCCGGAAACAAACATATCCCGCCTGGTTTACAGCCAATGCATCATCAGACCGCACAGTACCAAATCCTTCTGCCCAAGAAAATCAACGAGACCTCTGATTTCACGCAAAGCAGAGGTCTAAAAACGCAGATTTTAACATGTCCGCACCCGTACCCCCCAAAATTACCCTATCCATCCCCTGGCAGCCACCTAACTCATGTAGCGAAATAAACCCACTGTCGATGATTCAGTCAGCGCGGCGCTTACCCGCTCCGCGTCCGCCAGCTTGTCCACTACTTCGTCCAGCCACTCCTTGGTCGCCTCGTCCAGCTTCCTAAGCGCCTCCCCCGCGACCCGCCCCAAGGAGAAATCCGCAGCGCCCCACCGTACCTCCGGATTCGCGGGGAGCGACAGGTCCTTCGCGGAGCCGACTGTGTTCTCGTTCTCGGAGGTGAAGTCCTGCTCGTCATTGATCTGCGCAGGGAAGACGTGGGGCCTTCACGTTGAGCAACGGGCGAAGCATTGGGCCACAGCTGTTTGCGTCGAACTTGCCATCGGATACCAGATGCTCGGAGCATGGATCCTGATCTTGGACCGTGCGTTTTGACGACGAACTGGCATCCGACGGCTCAAGATTGCGGACCAAAAGTAGAGTGGTTTGACGCAAAGAGCTGTATCGTTGAAGGTGTTCAACGGGACAGAGAAACGCTGCGTTCTCGTCGGAGTCGTATCCTACGGCTGGGTCAGAATGGTCAAAATAATACAAAGTCTTCCAGCAGATGGTGTTTGAAGTAGAGAAGCAGGACAAAGAAGATTCAACTACTACGTCAAGCGCAGCCATGGCTTCCTGACCTGCGATCCGTTTGCCACCGCGTCGAGCTGCTGCATCTCAAGGTCCCCATACGCAGAGGATGAAGGGGTCGATGAAGGGGTGGCCTTCCGCCGTTCGACTTCGGGAGGGATCATGATGCTGACGTCAGCAGGTGGGGGCGGCGGGTGCGTGACGGGAGCAGTCTCTCGGATGGACCGCAGCGAATCTGGAGGCATGAGGCACTGAGTCAGCAACCGGTTCAGGTCGCTAAAAGTTCTCAACGCATGCTTCTGAACGCTTGCTGCAGAAGGGTTAGGAAGGAACTTGTCAGCCGGATGCAGCCGGATGCAGCCTCCAGCTGGCCGCACAGAGGCTACCAAAGTCAGCCCAACAGATCTTGCACATAGAGCGGTTGGCCCACTTCGGAACAGGACTTGAACCTTGATCGCGCCAAGTAATCGACAAGTAGAAAAGGACAGTGACAACAATAGTCTCTTGCTGTGCGGGTCTCGTTTGTCTCTTACTGAAAGCTTCCGACCGCGCATCAGCACAGAAGTATCACAGAAGCAACTTCAAGACGATTTACCGACGAAGTACCGAAGCTTTTACTCGACCAATCGTGCCAGAATGTCTCATCGCAGCCTCACTTTGATTTCCGTGATGGCTGAAGTCCAGGCTACCCCATGTGTCAGTGGGGCTGCGCATCCTGTAAGCCCCGTTGTCGCTCACAGCCTCCTTCAATGAATCCGTCAGCAGGATTAGAATGTGCTGAAGGACCGTCTCCGCGAAGTCGGTTCCCTGCTGTACCCGGTCCATGTAACCGTACCTGCCAGAAAAATATGGGCTTTGAAAATGAGCGTTGTTTAGCCTCCGTCAGACAACAGTTCAAATCCGCTTTCTTTGATTACCTTTGCAAGGCAACAGACAGGAAACAGTATAGAGGCTGAAAAGTGTTCAGTACAAGCAAGCGGGAATCAAGCGAGCGCTTGAAACACGCCCCGCCGCGGCACTTCACAAGCAAAGGTTCCGTCTGGGTTGATTGGGGTTTGCGAACGACAGGTTTGAAGTGCCCACGCTTGCAGCTTCGCTAAGAGGCTCAAAAGCGAGACTGCCGAAGATACAAGCACCGAGAACATATTCACCAGGTGCAAGCCTCAAGTCAAGGATCGGCTCTGCATAAGATTCAACGGCATTGTTTGGGTTGTTTGGGTTGCGAAGGCGAACGCTTACCGTGCGATGCAGTGGTAAAAGCCTCCGACGCCAAGCTGCTCGATGAGGAATCGTTCCGCCGGAAGCACCTCCGGAACCGGAACGAAGCGGTTGGTCATGAAGATGACGACCTCGTGGATGATGGGGAACGACTTGAGGTGCTGAACAAGCACCGGGGGAGTGCCGAAGATGCTGTCGGAGTAGTAGAGGCCGAGCCCGGGAGAGCGCAAGACGCGAGTGTCGGACTTGGCGATGAAAAGCTGCTCATCTGCAGATCAACGAAGAAAATGCCTTCTGGTCATCAGCGGGAGCCATTGAAAGTGCAGAAGAAACGAGTCAAGGTTTGACGAGATAGCGGCGATAGAACCTTGCAAATTCTGAGAAAAGTCGGATCGGAGCCCACAGCGCAAGCTGAACCCAGAATTGTCGAAGCGGGCACGGCCAAGGATCACGGCAAACGGCTGGTGAACCGCACCCTTCCGCAGCAGATTCTGCTACAAGACATGCAACTTGAAACGGTGCTGGCGACGTCTCACCGGCAAGTATGTCAGCCGTTTGACAACCACAAGAATTGCAGGCGATTAACGTACACGGGAACAACACTCTAGGTCCTGTGGGAGTCCTGCGCTTACACGTATGTACTAAGCGTAACTTCCAAGCACAAGTGGAGATGGAAGTGTCGGAAAAGCTAAGAAGAGCACACCTACCTTTACTGTCCTCTGCCACCTTGACCCGGAAGAACCTGTCCAGCTTGGGCATCAGCTTGGTGTGGAAGAAAGCGCGCTTGTGGCTGGACCCCCAGTACCACCACAACATGATGGCGGCGTAGATGAGGGCCATCATGATGGAGAACCAACCGCCTGCAGGGAGCGCACAAATCAGGTCAGAAGCGCGCCATGAACCAGTCTCCGACGAAGATCATCGCAAGATGCAATGACATACAGGCGGAGCGCACAGTTCTGAAATGGCCGTAATGGTGTCACAGCCGTCCAACCTTCATGTAATGAAGCCGGTCTGGATATGCATTTGGGCGTTAGCTATCAGCACCCAGATATGTAAGCTTGGGCCCCTGCTCTTGCAAGAGCATATCGGAGCCGTCAATCTGTCGACGTTGACAAGATGGACAATTGTTGCAGTCTCCCCGCTTATTCCTCAGTCATGTCGCAATTGAGCGTTCCGCCTGTATAGTTGCGTTCTCAAGCCAGCCTGGCTGTAACCCGCGCCGAGCAAGATGCCGTACTGACCCCGCCATCTGTTGGGTGAGCGAAATCCTGAGGAATGTTGGGCCTCGATGCTCTCAGATAGATTCTCTAAAACTCTGATGAACATGCTTACCTTTGGGGATCTTCTCGATGGTCGATGACAGGAAACTGCCTTCGACGAGCAGGAAGAAGAAGTAGAAGACCAGTCCCTCGTAGAGCGGTCGCCGCCAAACGGTTAGGATGACCAGCGTCATGAAATGGGTGGTCAGCACCATGTCGGTGATAACAGCGAGCCCTACACCAAGTGAGAAGGAATATTACCATTGATTCCAAAATTGAGTCCAAAATCCCTCCGCTGACACTCCCTCCAGACTTTATCTTTGCCTTCCACGACTATCTTCCGTCCCGCTCGTATGTTCTTTGAATTGAATGATACTTTTGTGAGCGTGTGCTGCACCATCTCTACAGCAAAGTCCGAGCTACTGCCTGCCATCTTAGGAACGGCGATTCGAGGTTATGCGTACATTAAGCTGATTCCAGCGGTCTAAACGGTACCACAAAGAGCGGCAACGAGTCTCTGTAACTCTGTCCAGTCTTGATGCAAATAGAAAACCGTCAGAACCAATAATTGGTATGCTTACCGTACGCTTGCCCCAGTTTCGCTGACTTCTGAAAGATGCCCACCACAACTAGGGTGAGCGTCATCAGCATGTAGTTCACGAGGGGGATGTAGACTTGGCCCAAGATCTTCCTGCTGGTGTGAACCACGTGGAACCGGGGGAAGAACCCCTGCGGGTGGAGAACAGCAGAGCCCGTGTCATCAACTCGTCAAAAAAACAAGTCGCAACTGTGCGGGCACACTTGAGGGCAACGAATGTTGACCAGACGCGCTAAAACGGCGAGGGTGCGCTCGACCTCGATGTAGCAAGCCTGCGAATTCACAATCCCAGTTAATGGCACCTTCAGGGACTTTCGGCATTCAAGGAGTCTCGGGTACGCCAAAACTCCTCGTACAATCGCAATCAGAGTCGCCATTTCAGGACTGCCAAACTGTTTCCCCTGCACCTTCTTACCTGGGCAATCGCCTGGTACACGATCTGGAAGCTGGCAGAGATGAGCGCTTGGCTGGCGACTATGGCGGCCAGCGTGGCGAGAATGAACATCGGCCAGAACGTCCCATGAGGCAGCGACTTGTAGTACGTGCTGCCGACGTTCTCCGGGTGTTTCAGAAGGTAAGCTGTCTGGCCAAAGTAGGTCAGGATGATGCAGGGGTACAAGAGGGCGAAGCAGGAGAGCTGCAGGGAAGGCACGTGGAAAACAGACGGGCTTCAGAAGACGCAGAAGATTTTGAGAGTGTAAATGTAAGATCGTCGGATGCTCTCGTGGACGAGGTTGACGTTGGGGTCACAGCACTAAAAAGTCTTCCAGAAAGGGCAGGAACAGGAACGAGAACATGTGCTCAGTGACACCATCCAAACTCGGAGAAAGGTTTTAGCACCCCCTGATGGACGAGAAACAAGACGTTGATAGCCAGAGACATGATGTGCCAGTGGAAGGACGATCCAGAACCAGATTAAACCAGGGCAAACAGATCAGGTCGAGACGCAGCTACTCAGTAACGAGGGTCGGGCCTCCTACCTGAACAGATTGCCTGTTAAAGTGCCCAAGGTCCGCAAAGAGTGCCTCCACCCCTGTCGCACAGAGCAGAACTCCACCCAGCGACTTCCAGGCAGTCTTTCCGTCATCGATGAAGTACCTCATGAAGTAGTGGGGGCTGATTGCCTTGAACACTGAAGCATCATACTTGGCAATGTTGACTACCCCTATGACCGCGTTCCCAAGCAGCCATAGCATGACAACTGGCGAGAATACTTTTGACATCAGGGCTGTCCCAAACTGTTGTATGAGAAAGAGGCCGGCCAGAATCGCCATAGCCAAACCCACAATGGCCCCTCGGGTGAAGGACGGGTCTGCGATCTGAATGCCTTCACAGGCGGATACAACTGCAAAGCAACAGCAGGAGGAAGATAAAGAGGAACCCCAGCTCTTCAACCCACTAAGATAGCATGACAGAAGGCAGAGTAGCCATCAATGCAACATCTGTCAATCCGGTGTGATTCTGTCAAGCGAAAGACAGTGTGCGAAGACAGTTGTGCACAACTGGTCTTCCGCTTCTACCTTCTTCATCTTTCAACAGCAAATAAGGAGCAGGTTTGATCGAACCCACTCCCGACATCCTGACGACCAAATGAACAAAGGCAAAACGGAGCAGTTGCACCCCTTTAAGAGCCGGCTCGAGCAGGATCATACCTGAGATGGCCGGAGTAAGGACCCCGTCCCCCAGAATTGCTCCAACACCAATCACAACCAGTACACGTACAATCTTCTGTAACGTCTCGTTCGTGACTACCCTCTGCCGCCAGCCCCTCTGCATGCTTTGCGCCTTGGCCTTGGCAAACGACCCAGAACCATAATGAGAAAGCTCTAACTCTGATGGAAGAGCAGGCCCCATGACACCCCTTTCCGCTTGCCGCCTTAGCAGGGAGTAGAGGGCAAAAGTGCCTCCATTCCCATTGTCGTCCGCAAAGAGCACGATCAAGGCATACCTGCCAGACCATCAAAATGTCAGCATTGATGGAGGATAAGGAAGCTTTTGTAAAAGGTAGGGTCCACTGCCCTCTGTGCAACTTCGTACAGAGGGGACGCGATGCGAAGAGTACAAGAGTTAGGGGTATGATGAAATGATGATGAAGGAAGGTCAAGATACTGTTGGAAAGTTGCATCAGCAGCATGAACGGTATCGATGCGCTTCCAGTAAGCATCGGCAGCGGATCAGGTTGCGCAGCCCCAGAGACTCACTTTACAAGAAGTAGCAGAGTGATGGTCCAGAAGATGAGAGACATGGCACCGATGACTTCCGTGTTGCTCGGTGGTCCCTCTGGAAAGATACTAGCGTAGACGTAGAGGGGCGACGTACCTACAAGAAACAATTCGACTCTCTAGATTCAAGGTCAAAGCATCGCATATAAGAGCAAGCTGGACGACTTGCTTTCTTCAAAACCTCGGTTAGGCCCTTCACTTATGTAATAGTAAAACACTTCCAGCAGCTGGCAGAGAAAATAGCAGGGAGAGGTTTCACAGGCAATTGCTACTGCAGTTTCTTGGCACCATAGACAACATGGAAAGTTTAGCCAGTTAGAAGAGAGGAAGTAAAGTGACCTACCAATATCTCCGTACACAACCCCAATCTGCAGCCAAATCCAATGCTTCTATGAGTCAGCAGGGTAATGAAATACAGTCTGCTTCTGAACCACTATCCTAAAAGGTAAGCAAGAAGAACTTTACAAGGGCAGGAAGACTCAACAAAGAGCCACCACTCAAACCAAAAGCACCAACATACGAAGTGATGTGCGATCGTGCATGTATGAGCAAAGAAAACTGAGCGAACAATTGGACGCAATGTTATGATACGTGTGTTACACTCACCGTGCCAAAGGCCAACCAAAGCAAGCCAGCTCCCTGTGGAGGAATAGCAGTGAGTCAAACCAGCTGCCTTGCAAACGGCAGGCTAGATCTGCCACATGATGCTACATTACTGAGGAAGGCAATGTTGACAGGTCGACGGCAAACAGGTTCTTGAACATGACCAAACATGAGGACTAGTAGGAGTGATGTGTGCTTGAACATGACAAACATGAGGACTAGTAAGGAGTGATGTGTGCACCAATGACGTTAAGGAGTAATAGTGATGTTAAGCTGCGAATCACGGACCGGGCACTCTTAGATGCTGTTTGAGAAGCTGTGCAATAAAGTTTGGCCTTATGATCAATCAAGCTTTGAAGAAGCTGAACAAATCTGAAAACTACTCTTGGAGAAAGAACCTAGAAAGATCAATCAAATCAGTCAGAGTTCCTTTGAATGGTGCACCTAGTGTCATTCATGATACTGGGGATCAGAAACTTGTGAAATGCAGGAGGGTCCTGACATCATTCTACGGTACCATGGAAGTAACAACTTGGGGCTAATGGAAGGTACAAACAGGAAACATAGAAGGAACGATCCACAAATGATACACACAGCTTTGTCTGGCAAAGCAGGGGCTAATAGAGCAGAAGTAGGAGTCTGTCCTGCAAGACATCATCAGTCTTGGCAACAACGTACAAGAAAAGGAGGACCTCGCCCACCTTAGTGGAGTGAGTCTCAGGGACCTTGATGTCAGCATCAGCCGTCCACTGAGCCCGAGTCACACGCTCGAACAGTCCACGGAAACGAGCCATAGAACTCTTGCGACTAACTTTTCTTATGATCCTGCCACTTGGAGGGCCTGTACTTTCCAGCCCCTGCACTGCTGGAGTGCTATCAGCATCATGCTTTTGCGCAGCTTCAGCCATCTTGGGGCGCACGGGAAAAGCCTCAACACGGCAGGCCCACTCACAACAGATGTAGTAGTGAACGAGTCCCTCCGCTTTCCTAATCTGGAGAATCCTTACAGTGGTGTGAAGAGAATCGCCACAATCGAAGTGGTTCCTGCAAGTCCACCAGAGAAAGCTGGTGCACCCTTCCGACTGCAGTCAAATGCTGATGGAGTGAAAATTAAAAACAAGCTCACAGTTGAGTAAGCCAGAAAGACTACCTCGGCGACTCAAACTGCGATCAACTGAGCTTTTGTGCGTTCCTCCAGCTCCCTCTTTCAGCAGAGGCAGCGATCTTCACCACCTGAGCATGTTCACATGTAGCAGTACCAAGACGCCACCTGCGCCAGCCAGAAGCTGCGGCCCAGCTGCGGGCTCGTCTTCCCTAGCTCCACTTGCACTACTACCGTAGGTAGTACTACAGATCGTCGTCCATCCCTTCGACTCTGAGTCACGAGTCACAAGCCGAGTACTTTGTCAATCATAATGCATTGAATCCTTGCACTTTTTAACGATTTCATGGTGGTCCCCAGTAGTATGGTGGGTAGGGTCTGAATGCTGGTTATGAACACACGTACAAGGATCCAGCAAAACTTTCTCCGGAAAGCTCATTGGGTTAGAGGTAGGTAGTTTCAGCTCGCCCCGGTTTGGAAGAGAATCGTGGCCCAGGAGCGCCTATCGTCGGTCGTGTGACCTTTTGTGCGAGCTGGCGCACTGCAGTGTACACATGTCGAGCTGCGTTCGTGCACACTGCACAGGTAACATGACCATCGACGAGCAAGGTCGTATGATCCGTATCTGTCGGCGTATGCATAGAGTGCACGATGAAGATGCACGCATTTGCGCCGAGAGGTCTCTTTCATGTCCCATGATGGGCCATGAACATTGCACATTTAATACTTTCAAAAATCTAGAGTCGATATAACCAAGCTGACCGTCTTCTATAAGTATACATATATTTTATCATACCTTATCGGGTTGTATCTGCCCCGCTGATCTCACATGCTTCCGACCACGCAGGAGAGTCCTAAGGCTGTGCATGTGCCCCCGAGAAGATGGATAATCGCCGGGTTCAACGCGACAGGGCGATCACAGCAATCTCGGCGCATCGCCGATCGGACGATCGGGACTAATCATATCTGACGGCAGAGGAGGCTTTGCAAACCCGACTAGTTTATTCACACCACTCCACATGTTCGCTGCTTTTGAAGGGAACTTCATTGCGGCGCAATCAATTGAATTGCTTGTCAAAGTTGCAATCTGCAAGGTTCAGAACAGACTGAAACGCCTTTGCCATTTCAGAAAGACAAATGCGGAAGCTTTTGGAGAATCGAAGTAGCAGGCTCCCCTGGAAGGATTGGTGGCCTGATGCTTTTTGTTCCGTGCATCGTAAGGTCTTGAACTGCTGAAAAAGGACCTTGCGATGGGTGCAACGAATAGAGGCAGTAGTCTGTAGTTGCTTGCAGCTTCCTGAGGCAGATTCCTTTTTGGGAGTCTTCATGGCGGTCCCCATTGTTCCCGGCCTGGTGGGAAGTTCTGCACCTGCCACCACCATTCTGTCCAGAACCGCTCGCAGTTTCACTTCATATCAGCACCCAACGGTGGAGAAGGTAAGAAATATAGCAGATATTTCTTTCAAAAATGATCTTCTTTTGCCTAATCATGAGGCATTTTGCGCTGATGCTGTGTGGATTCGTGGCTTTAAATCTGCAAGCAGTGTCGATGACCCCGACCAACACATTTATGGTGTCTTGGTCAACCCACTATTTTCTGAAAGAGGTTTGCTCAATATGTTCCACTCCTTCTGTATCAGGCGCTGCAGGCGCGGAGTGAGCTACCAAAGCGCAGAGATGTGGTCTGGTCAGCAGTGGTGCTGATTCTCTCCTTGGCACTGCTGGGGCTTTCTTACAGTGGCGAAACCATGATGAAGCTTGCCAGGCAAGCTCAAACGCCTCTTTCTCGCCCTCGGTTCTTCACATTTGTAATTGGGTTTAACACATCTGGTTGACATGGAAAAGCGGCAGTGATGTGAGAGCTGCAGCAGTCAGGCCGGTGGGACCACAAAGTGGTGCCTTGCATGCGCCCATATGTCTGATGAGCCAGGGGTTTAAATGATGTGAGAGAGAAAAGGAATTACTTTTGATGCGTCTCTTCCCTTCCGTCTTCGCTCTTTTGCGCACAAGGTGGGTCTGAACAGTGCAACAAAAAGCAACATACTTTGAATGTGCAGCTGATTCTTGGAAAGATATCATCTCTGTCCACTCGTCAAGAATCACCTGCCCATCCTTACCACATTTGAGCTTCGAATCTGAACCAGGTTGTACGAGTGGATGTGCTTCGTCCAAGTTTTCAGAGACAGGTTGACGGCGCCACATCACATGGAACAATCGATGGGGCATGCACAAAAACAAACAGTTGTTGACAACTCCCCCTCTCCACAGGAGTAGAGCCGTCTCAGAACTGATGCAGATCATGGGATGGCAGGGACTGGATGAGGGTAAGGTATTGGGCAGTATTTGACTTTGATGTCTCCATAACATGTTTAGGCCTCCTCCTACCGCCAATTTTGGTAAGTGGTATAGGATTCTCACAGAGAAACTCTCTTCCTTGGTGTGCGTTGCTTCGTTTGCTTTTCCGCAATGAGAAACTTGTTTGTGGATGTCATGATGTCCCGGCCGAAACCCACACTTTCTGTTACACCAATCAACTCAACTTTTAAGAGTGTGCCGTCAACCTTAGCAAAAAGACACCAGCTGGCTATGCAGTTCTATCTTATAGGTTCGACCCTGCCTCTTGTTCTCTGCAGGGCTCCTCCTCCTGGCTTTCCGCATCGCATTCGCCCTCCTCTCCCTCATCTACGCCGCCTCCCTCTACTTCTTCCTCAAGCTCTACACCACTGCCACTGTCTTTTCGGTCCCTGCCCCGCCCCCTTCTGGAAACCAGTCCATCAACATGGGCCAGAAGCAACCCCTTTTGTCCACCGAACAGCTAGCACTGCTCTTCCCAAAGCAAGCCCCAAAGGCCCTCGCCAAACTGCCGGATATCGTCCAGTCGGTCAAGGAGACCCCTTCCCATGCGTCCCACCTAGCATCCTCCCTGCTCAAAAAGACCAAGATTGTGCTCCACGATGCGGCTTCTTCCGCAGCCCACCGGCTGGGAAGGTCGAACGCCGCAGACGACGCACCTCCCCAAAGTGCTTCCGACACCGAACCAAATCCGCAACCCCCACCTACGAAGCCGGAGTCCCCAGCCCCGTTTTTGGCGCCCCTCCACCCAGAGATCCAGAAACCGACAGGTGGCAGTTCGCTAGCACTCTGGGGCAGCGGAGGAAAGGAGGTAACGGACGGCACCTCGTCGGGGGGGGGCACCCTCCCAGGCAAAGCTACCCCCGCCTTCGAATCCTCGTCGTTTGTTCCGACTAGCCCCTTCTCCCCAGTTCCGTTGCCTTTGAACACTCAGCCCGTCACTCCTCCCACTCAGAATATGGTCACCCCAACCAATAACCCAAGCGGGTCAGCGGGAGTCTCAGTCAGGGACAGGAGTTTCACTCCCCTGCAGTCGGAGGAGGCCCTCGACGATTTCTTGGCGGATCTAGACCGTCGGATGGAGACCCCGACGCCCCAGAGCCCTCGATTTGGTCCCTCTCCGGAACCAGGAGCCAATCAGACTTCCGATGCGGGCTTCCAGTCCCTTGGACCGATGTCACCAGGAACTTTTTCTCTAGGTGGGGCCCGGGCTGGTTCCGGGTACTTTGCAGAGCAGGTTAGTACTACAGCGAATGCTCCAGGGACGGGTATGTACCCGCAAACTCCTGCGGCTGCGAGTCCGATCTTTGGGGCACCTGCACAAACCACTCCGCAACCTACCGGTTTCCAGCAGCAAGGGCCCGGCCCCGTAAGCAGCCCATATAACCTCTCCACGAGTCCGCCACCTTATGCCCCGTCAGCCCCGCCGCTATCGGCACTGCCCCAGCAGTCGCCTGTGGGGGGAGCTGTCGGGACGAGCCCTTCTGGCACGAATGCTTATGGAGCGGCAGCAAGCTATCAGCAGTCCCCGTATTCAACTCATCAATCGCCAACTCCATCCCCGTACTCAGTTAGCACCCCCGCTTACGGAGCTCAAACGCCGCCCGCATATGGCCCCTATTCGAGCCCTTACAACCAGTCCCCAGGAGGCACCGCCCCAGGGCAATACACGCTCAGCCCGTCGTTCAGTAATGCATATCCTATGACCCCGCCATCCGCTTATAACCAGCCTTCGAACCTCTCAGCCACACCTGGCTCCCCATACCCCGGATCTCCATACCCCTTTGCGGCACCTTCTCCGCTCCAGGGGGCACAAGCCGCCCTTTCTGCCTCCCCCCTCCCGCCGAGCGGCCGGTCATTCACCCGGTCTTCCCCCTCGCAACCGAAACCCGGGGTTACGATTGGGGTTAAGGCTGACCGCGAAATGCCAAGCCCGATGCCTCCAGAAGTGATCGAACGGCGGCTCAAGGGGTTGGGAATATCGTCGAGAGAGCTGGATGCATGGCGGGACGAGCTGCGGGTATGGTTCGCAGAGAAGCTACTGGCGCCGCTTGTGCGGAAGATGGACGCGAGCCCTTCCAAGGTAAGGAATATCCCTTGCCTTCCTAGCACCTCTTGCGTTTCTATCAATATCCTGTGAGCTGATCAAGCCTGTCAAGGAACGTATTTAGACAAGCAGAGACTGGGCAACCTTCTCGTTGGCTCATACACCAGATTGTACGCAAACGGATGAAAATGAATTTTGCAGCAAGAAATGACTGAAGCAGGGATAAGGGACAGCTGTGGGATTCACGCTGCAACTGCGGATGCGAGTTTACTTGAGAGTGAGGGGCGTTGGGCTCTCTTGTCAAATTCCTTACTTTGTTCTTAACATAAGCGTAGATCTTTCGAAGGTGCTCTTAGCTACTGTGAGCTTCTGCCCAATCAGCAGTGGGGATGCATTATATCAACATTATAGCTGCCATCTGTGGCGGACAGCAACTCGCACCCCAACGCTTGGATGCTTCCCCCGTCTTTGCAGGTCCGGATCACGACTGTCCAATCGCGTCTATCTTGTTTAGTTCTCAAGTACGATTTCCAGACAAGGTTTGATTTACAGGTTAAGAACAGAAAGCACGCCACCTTGCGACTCAAGAGATTTCCTTTCTTTGCAGGTCAGGAACGCCTGCACTGCGCTCAACATGTCGCTTCCAGTTACGCTCTCCCCTCTCGGTACCGATTCTCGAGCGGTGGAAGCGGCCGCGGCCGTCACGAGCGTCAGTCTGGCGGTCCCGGCGGCGCCCAGCGAAGAAACGGTGCTCAAGATGCTGGGCGAGAAACTAGAGGAGGAGAGGAAAAAGGCGATGCAGCCGGCGGCGCCGGCGCCAACGACGATGTTCGGGCAGCCGCAGGCAGCGCAGCAGAGGTGGGTCTGCAACTAGGGTCGGGGGGCAGTCGCGTCGGCGATCGTGTGATCTGCTGACAGGAAGTTGTAGAAGGGGAACGTGGCTCTCGTTTGAAACTTGGCCCCGTTTAGCACCTCACGGTGCGCGTCTGACTCTGGTCCCGAAGCAATCGTAGTCGACCTGTTTGAAAGCACGACCAGGTTAGAAGTTAGAAACAGAATCCTGGATGCATTAAAGTGTCCAAATGGTGACGTTGTTTGAACACGACTCGTGGCACCGGATCGAACATTGGATTCCCCATTCCGAGCGACTGAACTTATGTTATCCTTCCACAAGTTCTGGCAGGCCATTGAACAGCTGTCAAAGTCGTTTGGAATCTGGGTGGGGCCACGAAGTTTGTCGGAACAAGAGCCCAAGATATCTTTATAAATTTTGGTCGTTCTTCTCCCTTGAGTGCAGGGTCGGAAGATCTGGATGATTGACAATCTCGTAGCGGTCGAGGAAAAGCTTTGCTGTTCTGCTTGTGTGACGGTATTCAGTAAGCACCTGTCAGTCGGGCTCCAATTCTCAGATTACTGAGAGAGTTTTGCCACCGCTGCTGCTCTTGGTTTGGTTCGCTGATTCCGTCTTTACTCGATCCTCGCAGACCGTCCCTGCCGTCGATCCAAGCCTGCTTGGACGCAGTCACGGAGAACCAACGGCTGAGGTTGCTCCTTCGGGGGGAGCTGGTTCCGAGAGTCCTGCCACTGCCCACCGTGCAGCCAACCTTCGTTGCTCGACGGATTAGAGGTGACTATCAGAGACGACCGGCGCTACGTGTTTCGCGATCAGTTCTGGCGTCACCAGGATGAGACTCTCTTAAAGGTGTCTTTTGTCTTCATGGGAGTCAACTGCGTCAAGCCCGCTCGGTTATCAGTCGCTTGTGCAACCTGCTCATAATTTTCAGCGGGGTCTAATTAAGTCATCTTACCTGGTAACCAACCCTTGCCCTTCCACTCAAAAACATGCGCTTCCGTAAGCCCTGTGATGTAGGAAGTCCAGAGCAGGATCTAGATTCTTAAACTTCGGGCAGTTGAGTCTCCCTCTAGTCGCTTCCTTCGAAGAATCCAGGTCTCAAATTAATCTCACGCTCAGCTAGTCAGTCTACTACCGCCTCCCTCTCACAGAGCTGGCGGAGGGTGCCTGCGTCAGGCGCTTCGACTGGTCCGGCGGGGGTGACGTCATCCCGGGCCAGCAGCCGTGGACCGCCGCGGCAAACCTCCCGAGCGACGCGCACCTGCTCTTCTATCTTTTCACCGCGTTCCTGGAGTTCCCCGGGTGGAGCCTGCACCAGGAACCACTGACCGGGCCGGGACACCAGGTGGGACGCAACTTCTTTCAGGGAGAAGGGCTTGACCTGGAGTTCCTGTGGTGTACTCCCTCGGGCTGTTAAAGTGTTGTGGTTCCAGGATTTTTGGGGTGTTGGATCATTTGGCTTTGCGAATTGTCAAGAATCGTGAGAATTCAGGGTCAACGGGATCCGCAGTAATACTAGGCTTGGAGGACATTGCTGTGTTGTATGATCTGTGGTAGATTGAGATGTCGGGAACGGAGGAAGTTTGTGGTCGTGAGGACTTCGAAGTCTACGGTTTCGGGGGTCTTACAAGCTCCCTGTCAGGTTCCGGGGTTTCAAATCCTCACAAAACGCTTCGACGTATGATCAGCATCCTCAATGGACGGTTTCGGATACGGTGCAAGCCTCAACAATCGAGTTACGGGTTTGGTTCATTCATCGGAGAGTTGCATCCTTCGATGAAGGATGCAGCCGGTCTGGTGAGTGTCTAAATGCGGCCCATGCAACCTTTCTCCCTGAGCTTTACTGCTTTCCTACCATGTGATTTTTTTCATCGCTCGGAACCCCCTTGAGCCTCTTCTTATCTTTTGACAGGGGGGCTTCTTCTTCATGGGCGACATTCCTAGTCGCCACCCCGAGCAGTTCGTCGCCATTCTCCAGCCCCCTCTCAGTGCGGAGCTGCGGGCTTTTGTGCGGCAGCCGAAGGCGACGGTAGTTCTGGTCGGGAAACAGAGCCCGGCCCCCGTCTTCTACCTGCTCTGGGGGGGCAAGTTCCAGTTCGTTCTGCAGGTAGGCTGCCATACTTGAAAAAGCCGCCCTCTGTCCATAAGCAATCAGTCCCGCTTTTGATGAAGTACCCGGACTCGACTTCTCTAATGTCAGGTCTGAAGTGGATGTCGCTTGAACGTGGCTGAAAGGACGAGACGTCTCAAGGAAGAGGAAAAGTTGAGGGTTTCTTCTTGCGTCCCCCTCGTGTGACACGCCCCCCTCATCCTCTGCAATCCGCTTTCATTGTTTTATGCTTTGTTGCGGCGAAGGGTTTGGCAGGCTCGTGGTCCTAATTCTGGGTCTCTCTGCAGGGTCGAACCGCGATCTGGGACGTGATTGCTCTCTTGACTTACCGCTTGCGGCAATCCCATGAAGGTGCCATCCGGGGCATTAGCCTGAACTCGAGCACTATAGATCTTCCCCCGGTAATCCAGCCTGCGTAATGACCTTGGTCGCTTGGTCCGAGGTTGGACGTTCAGTTGGACGTCGGACCCCTAAGAAACCCCAGCCTAAAAACTGTATAGGGGGCAGATATGCCCCTTTGACAGCCAAGTCCCTCTATTTTGTCGCGCGCTCCTATGCTTCTGTTGTTCAAGTTTGTCACGGCATCTCATGCTTGTATGCCGTCCAGAGAGCTATTACTGTGATGGTGACTTATCATCATTGCCCTGAGCCATGCAACACTGTGACAGTATCTCAAAATCTAAGTTTCTAACGATTAGCCAGAAGTGACTACAATCAAAAGAGTTTACGGTATCAAATAATCAAATCGATCTTTGAATCATAGACTGAAGACAACTTTCAGAGAGTCTCAAGAGCTAGCCACCTAATGAAAATAGCAATTATAGCAGACGGCGACCGCCACAATGATTTTGAGAAATTTGTGCGTTTTTACATAATCATGGCCATGCATGATGATGGTCGCACACTGCAGACACACATGGGCGCGAATCAGCTAATTAAAGGCTCCATATTTAGCGACTCCATCACATGGTATTGAGGCACTACACACACTGATATGCTTGAGTGTAGTACGACATGGTACGCGGGCTGTATATTAGTATGCAGCAGCTACGTGCGGCATCCGGATCCACATGAATTCGCGCGCGACGCGGCGGCGCGGCTCAGCTAAGATTGGATCATGCTCATGTAGCTAGGGGGCCGACCGCGCACATCATGAGTTGCAGCGTGCCGCGGCGCGCACTTGCAATGCATGATGCATATCACATGATACATGTGACCAATGCCCCTGGCACGTACATGGCGGCAGTGCACGTCCGACGATCTTAGGTAGATATGTGCGGCTGACACGTGGCCAGCAAGCGCGCGGCGTTAGTCAGATCGGCCACATGATGCAATTCGTGTCACGTCTTAGTATTTACTAGATACATATACCGGATCTTGATATGTACTTTGGAATCTTCTATGCAACTTTGATATACTAAGCACTGTCCCGTATTGCAAACTCTCACGGTGGAAAGTCTTCATCCATACTCATGTGCGTGTCTATCTGTTTACTCGCATCTACGACCCTCGTTTCTGTTGCTCCATTAGGTTTTTTGGCCATTGGAAGACAACTATCCGCAAGAGATAAGAACATTGCGTCTACGATCTCTTGGTCAGCTTCTGCAAAGAAGAAATGTAAAGACTCAGGAATGGCAACTGACCGCCTGATATCCTGACTAAGAGCCTCAACAGATTCAAGCCCTTGGACTCACGCTTTCAAAATTCTGCTAGGACTCGATACTCAACTCTGCTGCACAAATTGGTGACCCAGTCTCAATCCCGGAACCAAGAAGCAGACAGACAGCTTTTTGAGAGGCTCATCTAGGGGCAGGCCCAAATAGTACTGATCATTTAATTGAAAAGCTCCTGATACTTTGAAGGAAGAGCTTGAGGATCAAAGCGGGGCATCTTTGTCCTCACCTGCCCCTTCAAGCTCCTCACGGATTTCTTCCCCCAGCCTATCGCTCTCGTTCTGCAATAAAGACAAGACGCATCAGAACTTGGCAGACGATGCCACTAACTCGCAACGGGTCCAATGTAAATTGTAGAAACAACGAGAGCTGAAGTCGTACGACCTACAATAAAAGCAAACACACTCTGTGTCATCAGGCGCCCCCTAGTGGCCTCTTGTGGTCAAGACCCAAATATGTATCCTGTATACAAAGCAAGATCACAACACCGTGTGCTAGATTTTCATGGTAGACAGCTCACCTGCAGCTCTTCAATGCGAGCCAATTGCGCCTCCTCTCCTTGAGCAGTTGCAGGACATGCCGCTATGAGCTCGTCAAGCTGCGCATGGAAAAGAAGCTTTGATTGCCGGTCAAAAGGTTAGCAAGCATCCATTCTTCGAACACAGCTCACTGTCACTTTGGCAATTCACACGAAGTGGCCACAAGGATCTACCTCTTGAACACCCTTCCGTGAAACTAACTGCGAAGTTGGAAACAAAACCCAGTGTGGTCAGCCGATTCTTGCTCGGACTACCCCACCGAGTCAGCCAGGGAAACTATATCCTGGTTTAGATCATAGGGCAAAGGGCAGCCGTTTAGCCTTGACAGGTTACAGAGCGGGGCTCCCAACGCCGCCACACCGCTTATTAGGTTGTTCAAAGCGACCACCCTTCTCATTGAACAGCAGGGAAACGCTGAGGAAGAGTATTGTTCAAGGGAAGAGTCTTACCACTCGTGCCGCTTGCACCACCGCTGCGGCCAGCGGCTCAGGATGGGGCGCACCCTGCATTTGTGAGTTTGCAATCAAAACTTCCTCTTGAGAAAGAGTCAGAAGGAGATTTCTTCTACTTTGTTGAGCTGAGACCTGGCCCCCAGGGAGTCTCCGAAAGTCAGGGCAGATAGAGAGACTGTCTGGCAAATCTCCCCTAAAGCTCAAAGACTGGCATGATTCATAGGAACACTTGCACAAACTTCACCAGCCAATTCCTAGTTGCTGATGATGTCATCTGAATTTAACGGTGCACTTAATCGCAGTCACCGACCTGTTTCTTCCTGATGAGTGCAGCTGCAGAGCTTGCAATCTGCTTTTCCAGCTGGATATTAAAGCGTAGATCGAGGGAATAGGCGCGAAATACTGTCAACAGCAGAAAAAGCTCACCTCTTTCTTCGCCGCTCTTTTATCCAAAGACGCAGGCGGGGCATCTCTTTGTAGAGTCCCCACGTGGTTGAAGAGGAGGCTCGCAATGTGGTCGACCTGGTCCTGCAATTGCGACACAATGTCCATATTGGAGACTCCGTGGTGCTCTTGTGAAGGGCCTCCAACTTCAAGCGCCCTTGCCACTGCCTCTGCCACCAGCTTTGCGATGCAGATAGCAATGTGGGCATGCCGGTGCTTTTTGCGCCAGTGCGTTGGTGGTTTCGGAGGGTGGGACACTTTTGCAACTCCAAGGCGCGTACATGCGAGCCGTCAATTCCTAGACCTTGGAGGTTGCTAGCCGTCAGTTACACCACGTGACTTATCTGTC